GAGGACTGCTATTTTGTAATTAACATTTTTTTGGAGCGATATTCGATGCTTATTTGTAAGTTGTAGTCTTCAGCCGAAAAAAAAGAACAGAAGACCGGAGGAGAGTGTTGCTCTACTGGTTTATTCTCATAACGAAGGGAGAGAAGTAGCATTTGAACTTTAATCTTTGCAATAGCAAGAAATCAAACTTAAAAAAGATATCATTGGTTTAGTTTTTTCTTGGCAAAGATTTATTGCAATCAAATGAAAACTGTAGGACGAGTAGCATCAAAGAAATATCATTTTTTTAGTAACCATGGCAACAAGGTCCAGCGAAATTAAAAAAAAAACAATAAATAGATTTTTGTAATTTAGTCTAGTCTACTTGTCTGTGCCGATTATTTTAAAATCGGACTAAAACTTTGGGAGGAGAAGCATTATAAAAATATTTCTATTATATTGTTCACAGACGGACAGACAGCTAACTAGACAGACGGACGATGGGCACCTTACTATTGCATAAGCTCTTCGACTATATGAGCAACAAAAAAAATTAAAAAGCTGAACATTACAGTAAGTTTATTATCAACTTAAGATGAGAAGAGAATTAATTGAAGGGACAAATAAATTGAATATTACTTGAAACTTAACATTAATCAATTACAATTTGTGCATTTATTTGATATACACAATATCCATTGAAAACTGAAACAAATGAATTCAACATATTACATACCATTAGGTAAATATATACAGTTATATATAACAATTTCAAAACATTTCGACAAAATTTGAAAAACACTGGATAATCTAAATATATGTCTGAATATACAATGACACGTCCTGGGCCCGCTGTTATAATAGATGCTTAAGTCTGAGAATTCTCTCAAGTCTGAAAATATTCTGAAATCCAAAATTCTCAAACTCAGCGACCGTCATAAAAAATAAAAATACCTTAAACTCTTTTATTCTCAAATTCTCAGCTGAGTAATTCTCAAGAGTTGAGTTGATAATTTTTTTGAGAATTCTCAAAATTTTATGACGACGGACCCTAGTTTCAATAAGAAATCTTTGCAAAGATTCAAAATAATGCTCAAAAATTGTGTATATACGTTAAAGTAAAATGAATGATAAGCATCTTTGTAATTATTTTTATGTGACGTTAAAAAAAAGCATTTACACAATTTTGCCTCAACTCTCATATGATACTGTAAACTCATTTTTCAACCAAAGAATTGACATATTACGACAAAGTATTGAAGTATGGAATCAAATAATGCATCCTTATTTATATGAATGTCAAGGATGAACAGGTAAAATTTAATAATTTGTAAAAAATGGCAGTTTCAATTAAATGACATTTGTAACTAAAATTATTACACCTTTGCAGAATGATTCAAAATGAGAGTGCAACTAAACATTTTTATTGCATGAGGAGTCGGACAATTTGCATGACATCCAACAACATATACTGACTAAAGACTGATCAAAACAATATCTTTCTTAAGCAATGAAAATTTCGATACTTATAAATATTAACAAATCAAAATTTCATGACACCTTTAAAACCGAGGGTAGAGAAAACATTGCGAATTATGTCCGGATATATGCTCTTATTTTTATAATATTTTAATGTACACTATACGGAGGTACTTTTAAGAATATCAACTCTGATGTTTATTTGATTTACTCAGCACTATCTTCCTCTCAGCACGTTTTAGGCATTCAAACAAATCTTTGATTTTTCTGAACCTATTCAAAAGTCAACATGTCCTCTGTAGAACCGACACACCCTCAATGTCTAAAACAGACATCAAAACTAAATTCACCATCATTATAACCTTGTCAAAAGTCACCATCATCGTCTCGCACATTTCTCAATTCACTTAACACTAATTTGAACACATGCACATATCAAAAGAGGATTTAGAGATAACGAACAGTATTCAATATGAAAGTCCATAAAACAATACAAAATAGGAGCAGAGCAAACATTGACCGCAAAAACATAAGAGGCGGGATCAGGAGTGAGCATTCCATGCTGACTTGTATCACCCACCGTGTGCTCCTTTTCATGATAGAAACGTTAAAGTCGTAACGTTTATCATATAGCTTGGTTGTTAGATTACCATTTACGTCTTTTTCAAGTAAAATATCCAAGTTTGAAACAGATGTGTCAGACTTTGTGGTATCTTTTATTTCAAGCTCAATATGATATAAAGTGTCGACGTTGGAATGAAAATTGACAATACGTCGACGATTTATCTTAATGTCGTGTTGAAAGACACTGCAAGTGTTTTATTCTTTTCAGGCAAAAAATTTTGCTCAAATTCTAATTGTAAGAATGCACAAGAGTGCACAAATGAACTCATATTAATAATCAAAGTACTGAAAGTACTGGGAAGCGGTTAGCATGCATGCATTGAAATTGGCATGGAGAAGTAATATGCAGAACATGTCCAGTTGTAGATATATTTCAATGATGAAAATTACTTGGAGTCAAATTTTAGTGCAATATAAATTTGATAAATTCTTAGAAATTAATTCACAGTTCACACGACTAGTTTAATTTGCAGTAAATTCATGAGAAGTAAACTTCATATAAATATTCTCAAGAATCTTATAAATATTCTCAGTACTCTCAGTAGTTTTCATAAATATTCTCAGTTTTTGTCATAAATATTCTCAGTTTTTGTCATAAATATTCTCAGTTTTTGTCATAAATATTCTCAGTTTTTCTCATAAATATTCAATGTCTTGTAAATATTCTCAGTTGTTCACCAATATTCTCAGCTGTTTTCATGAGTATTCTGTGGAGTTATAATAAAATGTACACAATTTTGTTCTAGGCTAATTAGCAAAAACGCGAAAGTTTTTGCGGGGTGGGGAATTAGATATGAACTTTTCAGAGAGAAGGATTTTTCAGAGAGAAGGATTTTTTCCGTTATTTCCTGATTATGACAACGAGCACACGGCGGGTGTGACCGGTCGGCAGGGGATGCTCACTCCTCCATGGCACCTGATCCCACCTCTGATGTTTCGGAGGTCCGTGTTTGCTCTGCTCTTATTTTGTATATTTGTTTAATGGACGTTGAGATTGAATACTGTTCGTTATTTCCATATCCTTCATCCAATTGAATTGCAACAATTAATGCAAAAATATATAAAAACAAAATATAACACTGCAATTACTAATTTGATAAGAATTTGTTCAATTATATATGTTCAGTCCTACTAAGTCACTTGCAATTGGATTATCATGTAGGCCTAACTAATAGCTAAGGACTAAAACACTAACTAAAGCAGCTGTAAAGTACGCAAAATGTACCTAAATAATATAGCCTGGTATCTCATGGATTCGTGGTACTTATCGATTCATAATCAATTAAAATCGATTAACAAAATCTTCAGCTTAATTTTATTGTGATTTAATAAAAGTAGGATCTAATCTCTCGTTTAGTAAAAATATTGTTGTAATTTCATCACTTATCTGTGTCAAAATTCACCTTAAAATGTTTGGTGTTTACACCACTGTAAAAAAATCAAGCGTCTCATTGATTCGTGGTACGTCATCAAAAGCTGAGTTATTGGTATGGTGTGTTATTTCGGGCACATTTACTTAATAAAAAGATAAAAATATTGACGGAAATCGGTTTTTTATTCCATAAATTATTTAGTTGATTGCAAATACCTTTATATAATTTTCTAAAGATAATTGCAGAAAAAATACATAACGCAAGTCACAAAACATGTTTTGAAAGATTTTTTTAAATTTATAATTAGCATTTAAATATTCAAATTAAAATATTTATAAAGTTTAAAATTGATTTATTATGGAATTCATTTGTATTTTAATTCCTGATGCAAAAAGAGAGAAAAATAATCTAATTTGATGGACGAATATGTTATAGTTTTTACAGCACTTGTAATTCGACTGCTGGTTATGATGAATAAAAAAAAAACACTGATTTTTAACGCTAGAAACTTTCCATACTTTATTCAAAGACCAGCAACATCACTTGATATAAACAGTCGATCATGCAGACGACATCTGGAAATTCATTTGAAATCCATTTACCTACTATTTTGTACCCGTTTAGCTATTTTTAGGAAAACAGGTATGTCATCCAAAAGCGTATAAAATAGATGTAAGTGTTATTTGTATATTTTTTGCAATACGTGCCGAATTCTCCGTCATTTTAATTGAATTATGCCCCTTCGCTTACATCAGGAACTCTACTTTCGATTTCTCAAAATAAATTTCTGGAATAGTGCATTACGCTTGTGCAATGACGGAAAAAGAAAATACCACGAATCAATGGGTACCACGAATTGATGAGAAACGACCATATAATTAGTTCTCAGCTTTGACAAGCAAGTCTATTATGATAAAGCAATGAACCGTAGTAGCAAGTATAAGCAAACAATATTACCTGAAGGTATCTTTCGTTCTTTCGTACAAGTACGTCATCTATCCACGCTATCTTGTTAGTAAATAATGTATTACTACGCGTTCGCATCCGTTATGTATATCAAATCAAATCAAATATAAACTAGATTTTTTCTTGTTTTGTTTTGCAATACTTTCGCAGTTTTAACATAACTAATCATATATCTTTCGGTTTATGAACCATATTGTAGAACTATTTTTTCTCCTCTTCACTGCAAAGTTTGCCCCTGCATTTCTGCATGTAACCCCGGATAATTCAGCGTAGACTTTCGGGTATTTCCGCCAAAGATCGGAAAAGCTGCAATTTTTTGCTCATAGGTAGCGCCTTATGGAGGTTTCCGGTTGCCGACACATGCCATATAGCGGCTAGCGAAGCTAACCGCTTAAAAAACTAGCTCCTGCCTGTAGCAGCTCCTTCACTACATTCAAATATTAAACCTCCAGAAATCCCTTCATTACATTCTACCCTAACTTGTTGTTACCAGAGGTGAACGTATCTTACTCACCTTGTTCTTTGACAACAGTCTGTACCTTAAACAGCTGCTCATATGTGTGTGTGATATCAACCGTCTTAACAGAGATTAGATCCTGCCTCCAGCAGCTCATTCACTAAGCTCATATACCCACCCTTATATGCAGCTGTCAGTGGTGTATCAACCTCACTTTTCTGATTCATATCAGCTCCCGCTTCTAGAAGCTCCTTCACTACACTCATATGTCCACCCTCACATGCTGCTATCAGTGGTGTAGTAATATGGCCTTGTGGACTGATATCTGATCCCGCTTTAAGTAGTTCCTTCAGAACACTTATATTTCCATCTTTACAAGCTGCTATAAGTGGTGTAGTATTACGACCATTTGGATTAGTATCGGCTCCCACTTCTATTAACTTCTTCACTACATCCATATGTCCATTCCCACATGCTGCTGTAAGTGGTGTATCATATTTACCTTGTGGATTGATATCAGCTCCGGCTTCTAGCAGTTCCATCACTACACTCATGTGTCCACCCTCACATGCTGCTCTAAGAGGTGTATCAGATTCACTCTGTGGATTGACATGAGCTCCTGCGTTTAGTATTTCTCTAACAATACTCATATATCCATCTTTACATGCTGCTATAAGTGGTGTATTATTCCGACCTTGTGGATTGATATCAGCGCCTGCTACTAGAAGTTCCTTCACTAAAATGATATGTCCACCCTCACATGCTGCTGTGAGAGGTGTATCAGAGGCACCTTGTGGATTAATATCAGCTCCCGCTTTAAGTAGTTCCTTTACAACACTTATATTTCCATCCTTACATGCTGCTGCCAGTGGTGTAGTATCAAGACCTTCTGGATTGATATCAGCTCCTGCTTCTAAAAGCTCCTTCA